CATAGCTACCATGTCAACCTAACGAATGTGCAAAAATTCTTTTTTTTTTTTTTAATTTTCCATACCGTGTGCATGTAAATCGTCGAATTTCTAGTCTTCCTGGAAGCAGAGGATACCCTCTTTAACAAAGTGTCGAATCCCAAACTTTTCCTAATGTCAACAACATTTTTAAAACAGTTTTTGTGCTCTCCTGAAAAGTACCCATTTTCACATTCCATAGTTTGACATGGTAGCGGCGATATGTATATCGATCCCACGCCACCCACCGGCTAAATTTTATGTGGAGTTACTGCCTTCCACGGTGGTAATATAAAGAATGTTGGCATTTGTTTTATTTTTTCCTTAAAATACATAACTCGAACTTTATTTAAAAGAAATTGTTAAGTTACATTTTGTTAAAAAAAAAAATCAATTTAGCCCATTGTGCTTCTGATCGGTAAAGACAGGTCACCCCGTACCAACGCTTACCATGTTTTTCATTCGAATACTACAATGCGAATTCGAAGATATAATGCGAGATCAAAAGTTACGAGCACCATAAGAAAATATAGTAAAGGCTAGAGTAATATTTGAGTTTGAATTTTGAATTTAACAAACAATATGAAATTCATGTCGAAGGTACAAATCTATACATACAATTAAATTGTAACAGGCCGATGTCTGTACACTATGGATATTAATGAAAAATTAACAATTTTTAGAATTTCTGTCTGTGGGCCGTATGTTTGTACGCGCATCACTCGAAAAGTAATGCATGAAATTGATTGCAGTTTTCACCAATGTGTTGCTGGAGGTCTAACTTGAAATAAGAAGAAGAGAGAGTTGCCACCTGTTTGAAAATTGCAGTTTAAGTAAATTGATAAGATACAGTAAATATTGCAATATGGCCGTCAAAGAAAAAAAAGAGGTTTAAGAAGTCTTACAGCCAAAGATATTTTTGTGGAGGTTGCCACATGTTTGAGAATTTTAATATAATTTAATTGGTGAGATAAATTAAATATTGCAATATGGGTATCAAACTGAAGAGGTTGGGGAAAGGAATTTCGAGATGTTCGACACTATTTCGGGTCAATGGACTAGTTCGGAGTTTTTTGGAATTTTCCAGAATTTCGATTTTCTCACGACCATATTCGATTTTTTGTGAACTATTTCGGACCGTTGGAACTACTTTGGAATTTTCTGGACTATTTCGTAATTTTCAGAATTTTGAAGATTCTCGGGAATACGTTGGAATTTTTATGACTATATTGGATAGGCTATTCGGAAGTAAAATTCGCTGAGCTCAGATGAAGTGGCTTCAAGTGATTTGGGGTGTGTTCAGAAGAGGTGAATTGAGTTGAGTTGAGAAGAGGTCAGTTGACGTGAGTTGAGATGATTTGAATTGAAATGAGTTTAAGTGTGTTGAGTTGAGGCGAGTAAGGTACTGTAAAGTATTTAGATGGATATATAGCTGTTTTTGCGACGACCTTTTTGATTCTAATCAAGCATTCTTTTTTAATACCGGCTCGAGGTCAGGGTTTTTATTGTATTAAAACAAATAAAAATACGTTCTTTTCCCAATATATTTCAATCTCCTCCGGAGATCGTCTTCCTGATCGACACCTGAGTGGAAGAGCGACCTATCGCATCAGCCGGTTCGAAAACGCTCTATCTCAGAAAACTTTTCAAGAACGCCCTTTTTCAGAATTTGGTTGAAGATCGCCCTGCCTCAGCTGCCGATTCAAAAAAGCTCTCACCACATTATCAATACATTTTCATTTGAGATAGGGCGTTTTTGAATCGGCAGCTGAGATAGGGTCTTCAACCAAATTCTGAAATGGGCGTTTTTGAAAGTTCTCTGAGATAGGGCGTTTTCGAACTGGTTGATGAGATAGGTCGATCTTCCACTCAGGTGTCGATATGCAAGTAAATAATAAAAACCGAAAACCGACAGCCAGACATACATTTTTTTTGGCAAAACAGGATTTTCCATACTTATTACACCCAGCAAAAAAATCCAAAAAATTTCAAAACTCACTCAACAATCACTTTACTCACGAAATTAGTAATACTATCTACTTTTTCAGTTTTTTTCTCTGACGTCATGATTTTTTTCAGAGGACTTTGAAATTTCAAGGATATGATGAATTAAAACAATTCAGTAGAATTGAGAAGCGTTAAATTTGTTGGTGCCCAACGACGAATAGGTATTTAAAATACCCTTTTTAATATTTTGGTTGCCTAAACTAGGAAAGTTAAAAGGACAATTTCAAAATCTTTTTCTTTACCAAAAATTTTATTCATTTTTTTTCAGTTTATTTCTTTCTGAAAAATTTGTTTTCACTTAATAGCCAAAATTGCTTGAAATATATATTCAAAAGGAAGCGGGAAACCTCCGAGACGGTTTTATTGGAAATCTTTTGTTTATGCAAAAAATATTTGGAAAATATGCTACAAATGTCGATAGGTACTTGTATTTAGCGGCAAGCTTAAAATATCCAAAATATAAATAATTCTGATTTTATAGAAGAATATTACCCAATTTTATTTTACATGATTTCACAGTATTTTATACATCGCACACCGTCTTCAAAAGAGTCACAACTCAAAGTAATACGTTCGTCAGAAAATGCGAAAAACTCTTTCGTAGCACATGCTAATCATATGGCCAAGGGCGACTTTACCTTAGGTTTCTTTTAACAAATTATGACAAAAATTTCCTCAAGGTTTTGCTGAAAGCTTTTTGTGTACATTTTTAGCGCATAATTTCAAAAATGCCAAATTTTAAGTTGTGACTCTTTTGAAGACGATGTGCGATATATCCTGACAGTTCTAAGCTTCCATCAAGATTTTTTCCTGATCGTCTTGATATAGCGCGGAAACACAAAACAATTTTTTATTATCATTTTAACATATTCCGTCTGACGGCATTCGAACCTGGGGCTTCCTGCACATAACAAAAGTTAAATTCCCTAAAAACAATTTTTCGTTTCAAAAATTGCAAATCGCTAACATGGAAAACCAAAACGGTTTATTTTTGAAGAAATCATGTTACTTTTTTCTTAGTGTTCTATTATACTTGCATAAACGTATTTATTTATGTAAATGTGTATGTAATGATAAATACATTTAGAGAAGGTAGTATCTGTAGCAAAATTTTAGTATTTTTTCGCGAATGTCTTTAATTGTATAAAACCCCTCCTCACCTACCAACAATATTTTCCTGGGTGCGCCCCTGATGTGCAATATGTAGTTTTTTTTCCTAAATCTCTGCAATGGAAATTGAATTCAAGTCATGTGACGATTTTGCTATTATGCTAGCATAGCTATTGGGTTTTTTCGCCTCGTTAGAGTGTGTGTGTAACGGAGCGTTCGTAAACGTATTTCGCAGGGTCGCAAAGCAGTTGTAAAAGTACGTGCAGCTCGTGACTGCCAAACTGAAATGGCGGCAAATATTGTTGAAGGAATTCGGTGTTCACAAACATATGCACATATTCAAAAACATAAAAGCGAGGAAAATGTACATACAAGAACAAATGTATTTACAGAGTCAGTCGTCCGACTTAAAAGGACGCTTCAAATAAAGTAGTATTTAAAATGTAGTGGTATAAGAGGAGAGTTTACTGTTTTTTTTTTTTTGGTCGGCACTTATTCAAAATGTGTATACTTTACATGAGTATACATTAACTATGCTTACATTTCGGATATTTACGTTTTCAGAAATTTTCTGATTCAAGTGATCGATATTTCGGCACCTAAAGGTGAAAAAGTGCCAAGTCCATTTTTTTTTAATTATTCAGGAGAGACGAAAAATCGATGTAGTTTCGCATTATATGTCATTCTGTATCGAAAACAAAATTTTGAAAAATGTGAACTTGGCACCTTTTCACTTTTAGGTAGCGATTTGTTAAATTTTTAATATAAAATTGTCGCATGTACTTATGTAGATTAATTGAGAACGGATGAGTCCAGAGCCCTATAATACAATACCCATGAGGGCGCCATTCACTAAAATGTATGAAAGTTGGCCAAATGACCGCTTTACTTCACTTGCTTGAAGCGCTCTAAAGTTTCGAAAAGGCGAGATCTCTATTCGACAGGTGCTCTATAGGCATTTGACAAAGTAGTATATTTCCGTGCTAAATGAATTGGAGCAAATTGCTGCAGTTTTTGAACCAAAACTTTGTTTAGTTAAAAAAAGTGGTGCAAAAATTTAAGCAACTGGAAGTATCTCACAGTTGTTCCTCTTCTGTGCCCCAACTGACGCCAAGTGAAGCCAAGTCCTGCTCCACCTGGTCTTTCCAATGCAGAAGAAGCCTTCCTCTTACTACGTAACCAGCTTCCCGTTGAATACTTTCAGAGCTGGAGCGTTTCTGTCCATTCAAACAAAAATTTCTTCAATCAGATAATTTTCGCAAACAAAATTCAATGCTTGACTGCTGGGTATAAACATTAGTAGCTACATAAATTCCTATGTCCGTGCTATGCTATATATGTGCATACATATGTACATATGTATTTCCGGATTTGATTTTTGAGTTGTGCGTCTTATGAAGTGCGTATGCGATATATATTTGCATACCTATATGAAAATCGCATTTACTTTACCATCACGCTAAAAATGTACATGCGCGCGCTTTGGAATTGTATTTTTTTTTACTAAACGTATTATGGTCTTTGATGTCGTTCGCTGAGGGTTGTAGCTACGCTATTCCATTGTGGCATAAATAATAAATACATACGTACATACATACTTACATTCATATGCCAGTATTTGGGTATTTGTTATGAAAGAAAGCTCTCAAATAGTTTTGGTTAACTGAATGTGAAAGGAATTTTATAAATGAGTAATCTCCCTAAATAGATAGTAGATAACTTTTATTATGGAAAGTAGCAGGATTGCATATGTGGTGCTGCTTTGATGTTTCTATTTTGGTTTGAAGTAAAGCGTATATACTACGTGTGTGAGTGTGTGTGTGTGTTGGAATTCATTTCAGCCATTTTATATTTGCACTACTCACCTGACAGGGCGCCTGGAAGAGATACGCATCACCGAATGCTGTACTCAAACAGAATATATAATCACGTTTGGGATGTTCCGGTATTGGTTGCATAATCGCACCATCAACAATAATTAAATGTTTTGGTGCCGCTTCGACGCTGCGTCCCTCACGTGAATCGCACGGATAGAAGAGTAGTGTGGTGCCTTTGAGGCAAACCCAATAGCCTTTCCAGCCGCGTTTGCGTGCTAATTCGATTTGATGCTTTTTGCGGAGTAGCCATTTTTTCACCGACAAGAAACTGAAATGAAATATGTTTTATTTTCAGTAAAATATACATACATATAGTTAGATATAAAGCTTATAAAATTAATTAGCTACGCACTAGTGGTACTATACATGAACTAGTGTCCTAATTCGAGGTTAGAAGCAAGTTATCTTAATTAAAATGAGATATATTTTTGAAACTAACGATATTGACAACTTTTTTTTGTAGTTTGTTAAAGATAATCGATCGGCGCACATGAGCGTGAATAACAAAACCAAACTTAGTTGTTAAAAATAAAAAATAAAATAAAAAAACATTTATAACAATTTTACGTTGTTGTTTTTGGATAATAAGGTGTATGTAAACATTTATTTATAAGAGTGCGAAATTGCATCCCGATATCTATTACAGTTAAGGGGAAATGAATTTTTAAATTTTGTCAAGCTCTAAAATGTTAACGTCAATAGTGGTTTCTTTTTGAAAACTCAAAATGAAGAACAAAAATTAATTTTTTCATTACATAAATTATTAATTTATTTGAATGAGTAAACATTTTCATTATCTATGGGAAACGAATTCGTTCATTTGGCTGCGTCCGCTGGCTTCGCAGTAGCGCATCCCTAGAGGGTTAAATATTGAAAATTATGGTTTTAAGAAAATGTTCGGACTCGACTCGAATCGGAGTGGATTTTACTTTGATTTTTGAAAAACTTTTGAAATCTGCTCCTGTACTCAACTTGACTTCAAACCTACTTCGTTTTTTCGCTGACCCTAGGCCTGTGTTGTTACTAAATAATAAAATATAATTCCTTTATTGGTTCTTGAGTGTCATATTATTTAATTTTGCTGAATATATTTTTGACCTAACATGGGTATTTTTGAAACCCTTAAAACATTTGAGTGGTGACAGTCGAGTGTAACACAACTTTTTATACTTGTCGCACGAATTCATAAAATAACAATTTTTTGTGCAATTTTTGTGCCACAATCGGGAAAGTGGATTAAACATTTACTGGAAAATATTTAAATAGGTGGGTGGTAAAAACAACTTTTTTAAAAATTAATAATTTTATTCTAAAGATTACCCTAAGTATCAAAGCTTATCACTTTATTATGATTACATAGTGAAAAATCGCAGTTTTTGCATTTTGAAGACATACCGTTATATAGGAGATGAGCATGGTTATTGTCCAAATTCAATGATTTTTTACCCAGCGAAGTTAATAGGAACGCGCACACTGAAGATTGTATAGATGGGCAAATTGGTTATTGAGCTACATATATAGCTGTAATCATAAGTATGCGGTGCCCGCCCATTTTCCAAAACTTTATGTCACCATTGCGCTCGGATATACATACATACAGAATGGAGGCTTCAGCGGCCATACCTATTACAACCTGAGCTTTTATACTTCGGGTATATATGGTTTGCTTATTTTGTAGCACAATGTTATTGCATTGAGCAGACTTAATATGCCTTAATTAATAATTTCTTTAAGCAACAATTTCAACTCACCCAGCTTTGCGTACAGCGCCAGTACAATTAAATGAGGAAGCAGCTGTTCCAGTTGCCTTTGCTTTATATGGTGACGCCATGACACTTTCGCCATCATCTTCATCAGATACGGCCGTAGTTAAGCTCATTCGATCATCATCAGATATCTGCAAATAAAAAATTAAAATTTTTAATTTACTTAAATGCGTAAATATGTTTTTTTGCGTGCGCCTAGAGGTTGTCTCGCATAGGGGACGGACCTACAGTATTACGCCGACTTCATACGGTGTATTTTTATAAGAAGCTATTTTTCATGGCAGAAAGACACTCGGAGGTTTGCCATCGCCTGCCAACAACCGCTATTAGAAAATCTTTATTTTATTTTTTAATGTTGGTCGGAAACTGGTCTTGAACCCAGGCCCTGCGGAACGGTAACGCGAACTACTAACCACTACGCCATAGCAGTCGCTATTGTGATAAATAATTATAATTATACATACATGCATATTAGGGCGGGTCGAATTGTATGGGTCCAAAAAAATTAAAAGAGGCACATCGCGATTATGATTATTTGGGTCATTTCAAGCATTTTTGCCCAAAAAACCATAGGTCGGGCCAGCGATTTTTCCTCTCTAGTTTTTTTTTTCAAAACGTGGCTAGTTTTTATACCCGAGCGCACTTGTGCACAAGGGTATTATAACTTTGTTCACATAACGGTTGTTTGTAACAGGCAAAACGAATCGAGATAGATATAGACAAATGTATACATAAATGATCAGAATGAAAAGAGAAATCGAATAAGCGGTGACTGTCTGTCCGTCCGTCCGTCCGTCCGTCCGTCCGTCCGTCCGTCCGTCTGTGCACACGATAACTCGAGTAAAAATTGAGATATCTTAACGAAACTTGGTACGTGAACTTCTTTTGGGCGTGGGACAGATGGTATTGAAAATGGGCGAAATCGGATAATAACCACGCCTACCTCCCATATAACGGTAATTTTAAGAAATACGAAAACTGCGATATTTTAGTAACTACTGAAGCTAATTCACTCAAAATTGATACTTACAATGTGAATAACTCAGTGAGAGGGGAGACCAGTATGTTTGCATGTATGTATATAAAAAAATATTTATTGGACCAAAAAGTAGTGGGTAGGCACTGTGGCCAATGGTAATCAACTATTACCACCTCCGCATGGTTGTAAGCCATGCAGAGTCCGCAGAATGCTCCGGAAGCAGTGTCCGGAGGATGCATCCAACTAGGCAGAGCATACTTTGAAGTGCCATCTTATTGAAACTTAAGAAAGTTCAATTACTTGGCAGTTGAGAAGTGCATGTGCAAAAATTTCCTAAATTGCATAAAGGAAATCTTTGCACATGCAGCAGTACATAGCATGTATTTAGGCGCCTGGTGTTAGCGGACGCGCCTAAACACAATGAGTTTCAGACGGAAAACATGAATATTATAAATTTTTGGAAAATGGGCGTAGCCACGCCCACTTATGGTTACATGTGTATATCTTGGTAACCGCTGCACCAATTTCTTCCAAACTTAGCACAGTTGTTGGCCTTAGTACAGCTTACTAAATGGCTGAAAATTTAAAAAATCGGACAATAACCACGCCTACCTCCCATATAACGGTAATTTTCAGAAAAACGAAAACTGCGATATTTTAGTAACTACTGAAGATAATTCACTCAAAATTGATATTTGCAATGAGTTTTAGACGAAAAATAAGAATATTACAATATTTTGGCAAATGGGCGTAGCCACGCCCACTTATGGTTACATGTGTATATCTTGGTAACCGCAACACCAATTTCTTCCAAACTTGGCACAGTTGTTGGTCCTGATACAGCATACCAACTGGCCGAAAATTTCTAAAATCGGACAATAACCACGCCCACATCCCATATAACGGTAATTTCGAGAAATACAAAATCTTCGATAAATCAGTAAATATTGAAGCTAATTTATTCAAAATTGATGATTGCAACAATTCTTTACCAAGAAATACGTTTATGAAAAAATTTTGGAAAATGGGCGTAGCACCGCCCACTTGTGATCACATATATGTATCTCGCTAACCGTTCTAGCAATTTGTACCAAGCTCGGTATGGTTATTGTGCTTTCCACATAAAAGCAAACCGTTGAAAATTGTTGAAATCGGACTAAAATTGAGGCCGCTTTTCATATAACGGTAAATTTCAGATATGCTTGAAACTGCAATATTTCGAAATTTAAGGACGCTAATTTACTTAAAATGTATACACCCCGGCTTATCATGTAGCGGTAGCTTTCGGAAAGGTGGAAAACATATATTTAATACTTGCGCCGGGTATTTAATGTTCGGCTCCGCCCGAACTTAGACTTTCTTACTTGTTAATACAGCTGTTTAAACAGGTGAGCCACATAAAAAAAACACAAGATAGAAAAAATCACTGGCTCGAAATTCATTTTAGACCTATGGTTTCTTGGACAAAAATGCTTCAAATGACCCAAATAACCATAACCGCAACGTGCCTTTGATTCAAAAAATCTGTCCCGCCCTAATGCATATGTATGTGTTGTAGGTACAGTGGCAGATTTAAGAAGAAGCAGCAGTCAGCGATATACCTACACTAGGAGCCCAGTATTGGAATTTTCATATTTTCGGTACTTCAAACATTGTTTTGTTGTTCGGCAAATATTTCTAATTTCTAGAAATTAGTGAGTATGTTTTCAGCTAAATGGGCTCCGCGATATTCTTTAACGTTTTTCAAAAAGCGCAAAATAGTACATTCCCACTGCATAGAAATCTAAGATTCTGACCTCGAGATCTTCAAAACTTGTATAAGTGCTTCCACTCATGCATCTCACCTTCTTGCCGTGGTGTCAACGAACACGTGTAGCACTTGCAGTTATGAGTGTGTGGTTTTTACTTGATTTCACTATAAAAGGAAATGGTGGTATACCTTGAGGCACTTTCCACAGTAACGTTGAACTTAAATGGCACACTTTTTTTTCTTAATTTTTGTTGAAATATCATAAGAATCCAATAAATCGAAACCATGAAAATATTTATATTGTACATCATCATCTCCAACTCACAACAGTTACCGACCGAGTCAGACAAACACATTTGATGGAGAAGTACACCAATTTCAAGATTCAACAAATTCTCTATATACATACATATTTGTTAGTAATCGCTGTAGATAACAATAAAATGTTCACATTAGTACGGAGTAAGTACTAATTAAATGCTAAAAATATTAATAATGCCATTTTTTCTTACCTCGTAGAGACAAGTAGAAAACGGCATGAAATATCTCTCTGGTAATGAGAACTTAAATTTTTAATGCGCCACAAGAGCCAAATATTGATCGCTAGTATCCCTTTGTTGCTCTAGATCAGTTTTATCTACCTACGCTGGGCGTTTCTTCGTTAAAAAAAAATGTGTTGTACAGTGTTTTTTTTTGGAGAAATTTATAAATTTTTCAACTTTAAGCTTTTCGTAATTTTAACGTACATACATATCCATATCAAACCACTTATTATTTAATTTTTACCAAAGTTTATTAAATAATATCTAAATATTGCTCGTGTGGACGTCGCAGTTTCGGTGAAGGCAGAAATTCTAAATTTGAACGAACTCTTTTAGTAATTCACTATGCATTAGCGCTGTTAAAATAATTTGATTGTACAAAACCTGCTAACGAAGTTGTGTTTTGTTTCCTGGAAGGCAGCTGTAGGCATTTAACATGACTTTTGACCGAAAAGTGTACAAGCAATATACACATAAGCAAGTAAAAGCAACATATACATACAAACGACCAAATGATTCATGCTACTGCGTAACTACCCTGCAAAAAGTGGGACTAGGTTAAGTACTAGTACAGGACCACACTACCTTGTAACCAACACTAGTAACCAAAATGGTCCAAATATATGGAGAAAATATGGTTACATTAACATTGCGATGTCATTGGACCTGACCACCTCTGGTCCAACGCTCTCCAACTACTCCTTTTGAACCATGGCACATTCGGCAACCGAATCATATTGCCGATCGGCCACGAAGAGGTGGTGTTCAACACCTATATCAGTTTTTTTACGTTTGAAGTGGTCCAGGTCAGCATAACAAGTTACTAGTATGCAACCTGGTCCTTGTGCTCATACTTTAAAACTACGACCCAGTGGACCACCTGATCCTCAAATTTTAGCAGGGTAATTTGCCCTAAGCATGCTCTAATTATAAAACAGATGTGTGATAAATTGAATTTAATTATATTTCGCCACCCAAATAAAAAAGGGCGTGATTTTATCTGCAATAAAAAATAAATCCAACTTTCATTTACTCCCCCTACGGCTCAATTTGAGTCTTTCATTACCATCGAGTAGTACCCTGCAGGGAAAAGCTGAACTAGTATGCACAAATTCCAGTTCATGAACAATTATTTAGCGATTGAAGTCACACCAGTTTGTTATGAACTATAATTATACCAATTCCTCGTAGAAAAAGTAGACTAGTTGATAGAAACTTCTAATTAGAAAACTAATATTCAATATGGAAGTCATACCAGTTCGTCATGGTGAAATGCCAATCCAGCTAGTAAAAATACCTGTTCATTAACTAGTACGTGCTTAAGCAATGGCTTACAACTTCGACGATTTCGAAAAACTTATGCGATAAGCGACATGCGTCTTTCAATTGCCAAAACCAAAACTAAAATGCAGTTAATTGCTCGCCTTACAAATGTCGGCAGTGGTGTCGAGTGAATACTACCGATTTTGGTTATGAGATCTCAGGTTCGAGACCGCATGGAGGTTATTAACGCAAAGTTATTTCAATTTAAATATAAATCAAAAATTTAAAATTTAATTTCATTTGGAAAAATTGGAAAAACCTTAATATTCAAATACAATAAAAAAAATTTAATGAAAACAATTTTTTTCTTTTTAAAGTAATACAATTTAATTACAGCAAAAGAAATAAAAAAAATAAAATCCATTAAGCAAATAAAAATAAAAAATAAATCCTTTGTCTGAGATTCGAACTCGGATCTCTCGAGTAGCGCGCTAGAGCTTTGTCTTGTTGGCCATTGTTGCAGCGCCCGGAGCAAAATGGCATAATGATGCTTTTTGCGGGGGATGAATAGGCAGTCTATCCCGTCAACTGGTATGA